CCAGAATTAAATCTGCAACTCCCAAGTCTTTCATATCAAACTTGCTAGTTAGTATACGTTTAGTAGAATTTATGTTGGCAATATCATTACTCATTATCAGCATATCATTCACATATAAGAAAACAATGACTATGTGATTTGGAACATTTTTAATGTACACACATTTATCACATTCATTTATCTTAAACCCATTTGACAATATTGTTTGGTCAAATTTTGCATGTCATTGTTTGGGTGCTTATTTTACTCCGTAAAGGGACTTAACAAGTCTACATACCTTCTTTTCTTTACCTGGAATCACAAACCCTTCAGGTTGTTCCATGTAGATTTCTTCCTCCAACTCTCCATTTAAAAAGGTTGTCTTAACATTCATTTGATGAATTTCAAGACCATAAACTGTAGTTAACGCTACTAACGTTCGTATGGACGTAATTCTTGTAACTGGAGAGTATGTATCAAAATAGTCAAGACCTTCTCGTTGTCTATACCATTTGACCACAAATCTTGCCTTATATTTGTCAATAGTGCCATCATCTTTTATTTTCCTCTTAAAGATCCATTTAAAACACAACGGTTTATTTCTAGGAGGAAGATCAACCAATTCCTATGTATGGTTGTTCAGTATGGATTTTATTTCACTATTGATGCCTCTTTCCAAAACAATGATTCTGAAGAAGACATAGCTTTCTTTTAATGTTTGAGACTCATTTTCCAATAAGAAAGTCACAAAATCTGGCCCAAATGAAATAGACGTTCTTTGACGTTTACTACGTCTTGGATCCTCCGGATTAAGGGTACTTTCTTTTGTTTCTTCCCGAGGTCGTTTAGATCCTTTACCAATCGACTCATATTCCTTTTTATACGGATATATATTTTTAAAGAACTCAACATTATCTGATTTTATAACCGTATTATTATAAATATCGAGATTTTCTGATTTATGAACCAGAAATCGATATGTTTTACTATTAGTCGTCATATCCTATGAAAACACAATCAACGGTTTTCAGTCCTACTTTACCCTTTTGGGTTTAGGAACTTGCACTTTTGCCAAACACCCCCACACTTTAAAATAATTCAAGTTGGGCTTCCTTCCTTTCCATTTTCCATGTGGAATGGATTGTGTTTTGCTATGGGGTACTCGATTTAGTATTCGGCTAGCCGTAAGAATAGCTTCCCCCTACAAGTTCTGTGGCAAACTAGAACTTATCAATAATGTGTTCATCATCTTCTTTAATGAACGATTCTTTCTTTATGCAATCCTATTGTATTGGGGCGTGTAAGGGGCCGTTGTTTGATGAATAATTCCATATTCTAAACATATTTGTTCAAAAGGAGATTCATATTCACCACCCCTATCACTTATTATCATTTTGCTTTTCTTGTTAAGTTGCGTTTCAACTTCATTTTTGTATTGCTTGAATGCGTCCATTGCTTTATCTTTACTATTAAGTAAGTAAACATAGCAATATCGAGTACTATCGTCAATAAAAGTTATGAAATACTTCTTTCCACCGCGAGATGGTATTGACTTCATATCGCAAATATCTATGTGAATTAAGTCTAAAGAATCTGAATTCCTTTCAACTGACTTCTAAGGATGTTTAACATACTTAGATTCCACACATATTTGACATTTTGATTTGTCGCATTCAAATTTAGGCAATACTTCCAAATTAATCATTTTTCGCAAGGTTTTATAATTAATATGACCCAAACGTATATGCCATAATTCATTTGACTCATGTAAGTAAGACGAAGCTGAAATTTTATTATTATTTTCAACAACCATTACATTCAGCTTGAAAAGGCCCTCAGTGAGGTAATATTTTCCTACAAGCATTTCGTTCTTACTTATTACAATCTTATCGGAAACAAAAACACATTTAAAACTATTCTTAACAAGAAGTCCAGTAGAGACTAAATTCTTCCTATTCTCATAAATATGAAGGATGTTGTTCAAAGTCATCACTTTACCGGAAGTCATTTTGAGAAATATCTTCCCACATCCTTCAATCGTGGCATTTGCAGCATTTCCCATAGAAAGCATCTCATCGGGTCCAACAGGAGCATAAGTAGCAAAAGCTTCTCTAACAGCACAAACATGGCGAGTGGCTCCAGAATCAATCCACCACTCTTTATGATTGCCCACCAAGTTGCATTCGAAAAGCATGGCACATAAGTCATCAACATCATCATGCTTTTCAACCATGTTTGCTTGACCCTTCTTTTTGTCTTCTTTGGAGCACAACACTCCGTAGATTTGTGTCTGGCTTTTCCACAGTTGTAGCAATTTCCACTGAACCGCTTCTTGCTTGGGTTGTATTTCGGTCCAGAAGCCTTCTTCCTCTTTTTGTTCTCTTCAACAATATTTGCTCCCATTATTGTTGAGTTTCCACAACCTCTCTTTTCAACAGCTTTGTTGTCCTCTTCGATTCTCAACCGAACAATGAGATTTTCAAGGGACATCTCCTTGCGTTTGTGTTTCAAGTAGTTTTTGAAGTCCTTCCACAAAGGAGGCAACTTCTCAATCATCGCTGCTACTTGGAATACTTCATTGATGACAAGACCTCAATGAAATTTCTGTTAGTAAAAATACTAAGATTACTACTTTCAACATCAGTATTAATTTGATTTATACCTTCAGCAAGGAGATCATGAATAATCACTTGCAATTCTTGGACTTGGGTAATAACAGACTTGGTATCTACCATTTTGTAGTGCAAAAACTTTGTAGCAACGAACTTCTTCAACCCGACATCTTCGGTTTTGTGTTTCTTTTTAAGCGCAATCCACAGTTCTTTTGACGTTTCCACACCACTGTAGACGGCATACAAAGCATCCTCCAGCCCGCTTAGAATATAATTCTTGCACAAAAAATCTGAATGCTTCCACGCCTCGATCACGAGAAAGCGTTCAGTTTCTGGAGTTTCATCGGACAACACAGAAACATCTTCCTTGATGAACTTCTGGAGACTTAGAGTAGTCAAATAGAAGAACATCTTTTGCTGCCAGCGCTTGAAATCAATCCTGGAAAATTTTCCAGGTTTCTCCGCCGGTGCAAATGCTGTCGGTGTTGTTCGGCTCGTTGAGGCATTGACAGTCACCATTGGAACAACTTGGTTCACATTATCATTAGTCATTTCTGTAAAAGAATGACACAAACGTTAAAACCACGTAGATTTTAATCTCCAATAGAGTACAAAAGCACAAAGGTTTTACTCTCCACAAAAAGTGAGTACAAATACAGAAAATATAATAAATTCCTTAAGCTTGTTAGTAATCTGTATTTGTAAAACAATTCTGGAGAAAATAAAATAACATAAACAGAAATGTAAACGAAATAACAAAAACTAATTCGAGCCCACTGAATTCATAGTGTTTCCTTAAGGAATTTAATCCCCTCCTAGTACCCAAGGTTATGGATTATTTCCTCCTAGGATAGAACGAATTACACACTGGTGTAGTGGTACTTCAAATCCCAGTGTTTCAGCGAACACAAAGTTCGGTAGCAAATCACACTCACTGTTGCTTTCTTTGAAGTTAAAATATGCAGAAGGAAGGAGAAGAACTCAGAAAATTCGTAAAAAATTTTGAGCGGAATAGTCTTGTATTTATAGCCAAAGTTGGGCTGAAATCTGAAGAGATGCAACTTTTAGAATGGCTGTTTATGCAAAATGGCCACAACATAAATGGCGATTTACTCAACAATAAAGAGGAAAAATTGAAGAGGGTAGTTTAATTTTCAGTTACACAACTGATAAACGGATTGGATTTAATATTAATATTTATTTTAATATTAATATTCTGTTATTAAAACAAATATTTAATAACATTTCTGTTAATATTTTACTATTAACAAATAAATTTGGTCCAAAAAATTAATCAATCAATCGATCATTTGACCAAATCCAAATCCGATTGGATTTAATATTAATATTTATTTTAATATTAATCTTCTGTTATTAAAACAAATATTTAATAACATTTCTGTAAATATTTTACTATTAACAAATAAATTTGGTCCAAAAAATTAATCAATCAATTGACCGAAGCCGAAGCCGAGCGACGACGACGGCGCGAGGCTTGCCTTCTTCTCAACTCTATAAGAGCTAGAAGAAGAGCAATTGCTTATATACCCATAAAAAATCTCTTCCTCTTCCAATATGGGACAATGTCCATTTGCCAAGGGAAAAAACTTAAAATTTCACTCAAAAATTTCATTTCTTTCGATTTCCCATTCACCCTCTTTTAAGTATTTAATATACTTAAATACATAAAACCCAACAAATTGCACTACGTTCAAGTCTAAGTCTTTGGCGTTACTCATCGGGAAAGCAAAGAAGTATATATTGACGTTATCTTGTGTTTGAGGAAGAAAATTCCAAGTTGCTGGTTGTGTACACCCTGAATTGTCTAGAGTTTAGAGGAAAGGTTAGAGATTTTGGGTGTGGCTTATAACGAAAATCTGAATTTAATTTGCGATGAACCCAAGCATTACAATGGTTAGTGCTAAAGAGTGTTCTCTTGGAAGGTATTTTTGGATGAGTGGTACTAACATTACTGAACTTAACTTTTCCATAGTAGTATAGCAACACCAATAACAATGTGTATTCCCACAAGTGATATTTAGGGAGGTTAGTGAATACACATGTCTTGTGAATTCAAATTGTGCACATAAAAACATAAGATTAAGATGCGAGTGGATGGATCAAACATGCTTTGAATACAAAACCACATCGCTTTTTCCTTCATCTTCAGCAGAATTACCGAATACATGTACAAATAGTTTACATTGAGCAATTGAGATCGCGCAATCTAGAGCCTTATGGAACCCTACATGGATGTGGAGGAATGAGAAATCAAAATGTGCACATAAAAACATGAGATAAAAGCCAGGCGAGTCAATGGATCAAATAAATTGAAATACGCATATGGCATGGTTTTGGTTCCTTCATCTTCACCAGAATTACCTAATAAATGTATTAATTGCTTACGTCTAGCAATTAAGATCGCAAATCTGCCTAATGGAAGTTTGGACGTAAACATCGAAATTGATAGCAACAACTTGCATACATTACATGTTATGTGTTCGACACTACAAAACATATTACATCTAACAATAATTATAAGCATAAAGTCTACAAGCGTTTGCTTTCAAGGTTAAAGAACCCAATTTTTATCTTTCAGAAATGCAAATCAAAGTCAACTAGATCAAAGATGGTAGGTAATTTTCCTAGAAATCATCACCATCATAATCATCATCGGCGAGATCATCCTCAACCTTCTCAGCAGCCTTATCTGCGATGTTATCCTCTATGTGATCAATACCCTCCGAAATCGCGAGTCCACCCAATGCCCCTGCAACCGCACCCACAGCCAATCCTGCTCCCAACCCCATTCCTCCAAACTTGCCCTTCTTCTTCTCCTCGTACTTATACCCTGCTTGCTGCCCGTAGCTTCCCTGCCCGTAATTCCCCTGCTGCTGCCCATAACTAGCCTGCGAGTAACCCGGCTGCCCGTAACTACCTCCCTGAGAGTACGGCGCAGGGGGAGCACCGTAATTCGGTTGTTGTTGACCATAAGGCGCCGGAGCAGGAGCGGCACTGTACGGATAACCCGACGGCGGCGCAGCGTAGGGAGCAGGAGCACCGTACGATCCGCCGTAAGGTTGCGGCGGTGCAGCCGGGTAATCCCGTGATCCAGGTGGTGGAACACCGTAAGGAGGAGCATAATACGGATCCGGCGCACGATAGCGCGGATCACGAACGCTGACCTCAACTTTCACCTTCCCTTGAGGGCGACCAGAAGGACGCTTCAAATCGAGTGAACGCTCACAAGAGTTCCCGATGCCGACGGTATCGACGACGTCACGGAGGTGAAGCTTGGCGGAGCCGATGAGAGGCTTGGTATCCTTCTCGGCGTTAGCGTGAACGACATCGATGTACAAGGTGGATTCCTCGATCGGAGAATACAAAGGAATCACAAGCTTTTCGTCCCAGTAAGGAGACATGTCACCATTTTCGTCGACTTTTGTGGAGCATTTGGCTTTAGGGTCAACCCAAACAACAGCATAGGGTTTGAGACGGCCGTAACGCCAATTCACGTTCTTCAAATCCTTAGCCGATGAGATCTTCACTTCCACCTCGAATCGTGATCCCATTTTCCAAAAGTACAGTGGATTTAGATAAGAAACTGTATAAAAATGCCTAATAGCAACTTTGCGTATAAAAGTAGGTACTGGAGGGAGTATTTATAGCATCGTAACAAGAATCGTTCTTCACATTTACTAGTGATATTTCATTATTGATTTCGAAGTTCCATTAATGACCTTGGAGTTTTTATGTTGAAATATGTACACATTAGGCTTGGTTGAGTTGGCTCTGTTGATGTCAGTATCTAAAGAGGGTATATGAGTAATTATATAAACCAAGAACATTAAGCGGATTAGGCAAGGGGAGGGATTTTCCTTAGCCCAGAAGATTCGAAAGCATTCGAGGGTTAGGCTACCGAGGAAGGTAGGACACGTGGAGGCATATCAATGGTGGATAATATGTGTACAAAACGTGAGGGACCTTGGACCCAGAAAAAAGAAAAGAAAAAAAAAAAACATCAAGTAATAGTAGATGTCTTAGGGTATATAAATAGAAGACAGGTCAGAACTGTGAAGTCCAATAATAAAAACAAGATCATCTAGGGGCAAGCATATTCCNGCTGGGGAAAGAAGGTAGGTTGGCTTCTGTGTGGCCGTTTTATTTGTGACATGAGACATGCTTAATAACGCAATACTTTTCTAGAGGAAAACAAAAACACACACGACGTACCGGCAGCATGAAGAATATATGTAAATTTTTACTTTTGATTACTTTTTTCTGGAAATTGTTAACTGTTCACATTATTTAAGAGACCCAATTATTTTCTCCGTATATAATTTTGGATAATCTTGAGCTAACTTTTAGTGTCGCACTCGGCCAAAAATCCATTTCTTAAACTAAAAAAGGAGATTTTTTTACATAGCTATGCTAATATAAACATATTTACTCATATCAGAGAAGTTATCAATTACTATTTATATTTGGTGTACAAATTTATCAATTATATATAAATTAATGATAAATGAGTATCCCTTAATACTAGGGTGTTAATTGATAATAATCGATGCACACGCTTACCTCTACTCACCCTACCCACGTTGCTCATCTAATCCGCACATTTGCTTAAGCAACTCAATCAGTTATTTAAGAAATTCGTTTTGTTTAAATAACTACCAAATTGTTTAAGCAACTCAACTAATTGCTTAAACATCGACTGAGGTTGTTTAGTTCAATTACTTTTTGACCTTATCTGTATATGGTTTGTGCGTATCTCTTTTTTTTTTGGTGCGCTGATCACGGGTTTTAAAATACAATAAACAGCTAGAAGGAGTCTTCCTTGGGGGTGTATGGGCCAAAAATTATTTCTAAAATGACTAAGTTGTGTTATCATTTAGGAGGCATTCACATGTTGCCATATGTCACCAATACGACCCCAATGAAAGCCTGCCCAAGGTCGAAGTGGGTCTAGAAACAATGAAGGTTGTGGTCGAAGAGCCAGCAAGGATCAAGGTCGAGGATTCGTCAGAGATCAGGGTCGATGTCGAACATCCTTGACAGAGTTATAACACTTAGTTCCAAGATAGGACACTAAAGAGAATATTCTTGTGGATATACAGGTAGCTAGATACAACCTCCTCCATAGCGACTTATACAAAGGGACATACGGCGGCCCTCTGGCAAAATGTTTGGGTCCAAACCAAACCCAGCGCATCCTCGAAGAAGTCCATGAAGGCCATTGTGACGCTCATTCCGTCGATCCAGCAATCGTTAGGTGTCATACGGGCAGGATATTACTGGCCCACCATGAAAAAAGACACCTCAGAATTTGTGAAGAAATGCGAACAATGTCAGAAATACTTCCCAATAATTCACCAAGCAGGCAAACATCTCCACTCAGTCACCTTCTGTGGCCGTTCATCAAGTGGGGAATAAACATCGTAGGCTCCCTCCCAGCAAGGCGAGGTAATGTACGATTCCTTTTGATTTTAACTGACTATTTTTCTAAATGGGTAGAAGCAGGAGTGTTCGCCGAAATACGCAAACAAGAGGTAATCACCTTTATATGGAGAAACATCATCTGCCGATTCGCCTACCCAAGGAGATCAGCTGCGATAACGGACCCAGTTCACGGGAAAGAAAGTCGTTGAATTCTTTGAGAAATAGTATATTAAAAGGATACTTTCAACCTCGTATCACCCGGCGGGTAACGGACAGGTAGAATCCTCCAACAAGTCCATATTAAACATCATGAAGAAAAATCTTAAGACGCCAAGGGATTGTGGCCGAAGATACTCTCGAAAGTATTATGGGCGTATATAATTACCTTGAAGACGAGCACAAGAGAGACACCTCACTCTTTGGTCTATGGGACCAGAAACAGTCATACCAGTCGAAGTCGGAGAATCCAGCCTAAGGTACTCCCATGAAAGCGGTACTAGTAATGATGAGAGCGGAAGGCAGAAACTCGATGAAATCAACGAACTAAGAGATATGACATACATAAGGATGATCGCCCAAAAGCTGCAAGCAGAACTTTATTACAACAAGAAAGCAAAGGCCCGACCACTCAAAGTCGTGAACTATGTACTCAAAGCCAAAACTCAAGCGAGCAAAGACCCACGGGAAGGCAACCTAGGAACACATTGGGACAGCCAGTACAAAAATTACAGCCAAAGCAAACAAGGGTTCATTCCAATTAGAGATAATGGAGGGAAAACAATTATCGAAAATTGGAACATCAGCCACCTAAAATACTTCAACTTCTAAAAGGAAGAAGTTTCCCCAAGTCATACTCTTTTTCCCCTCACTTGAGTTTTGTCCCATAGGGTTTTCTCAAGGAGGTTTTTAACGAGGCGACAAAAGGGACACTTCGAGTCAATGTATGTGAGGGAGGGACTATTTTTTTTCTCTTTTGTTGCCCGACTCTTCAATACTCTCTAAGTCAAGCAATGAAGGGACTAGATAGACTGGGACTGGAATGTCAGCCAATGCCCAAAATTTATAACTTTATCCAATCATGTAATCAGAGCAACAACCTCAAAATAATAAGAAACATATGTTTACCAAAAACACATATCGTCCCTCAGTCGCGATTAACAAAAGGTTAAGTTCGACCCAGCTCGAAAAATACCTATCAGCCCTCGGACGAGATAAACAAAAGGTTAAGTTTGACCCGCTCAAACAACACCTATCGTTCCTCGATCGCGATTACCAAAAGGTTAAGTTCGACCCAGCTCGAATAACATCTATCGGCCCTTGGCCGTGATTAATAAAAGGTTAAGTTCGACCCAGCTCGAATAACATCTATCGGCCCTTGGCCGTGATTAATAAAAGGTTAAGTTCGATCCCACTCGAACAACACCAATCTGCCCTCGGCCGCGATTTATAAAAGGTTAAGTTCGACCAGACTCGAACATCACCAATCAACCTTCAGTCGCACATTAATAAAAGGTTAAGTTCGACCAGACTCGAACATCACCAATCAACCTTCAGTCGCACATTAATAAAAGGTTAAGGTCGACCCAACTCGAATAATACCTATCGGCCCTCGACCGCACCCTAATGAAGATTAGAATTTGACCAAGTTCGAATAACACCTACCGGACCTCGGCTGCGATTTAAAGAGTTTAAAAATTGACCAAGTTTGAATGACACCTATCGCCCCTCAGTTGCACCCTAATAAAAGTCAAAATTCGACCAAGTTCAAATAGCACGTACCGACCCTCAACCGCAATTTAAAGAGGTTAAAATTCGACCAAGTTCGAATGACACCTATCGGCGCTCGGCCACGTTTCAATAGAAAGTTAAACTTAACCAAACAAGAAGCTAAATCTGACTAAGTTCAAACCTAACCGATCAGTCCGTAGACATACTCAACCTATACGGGCAAAGGGGTATATCGGCCCATAGCTATTCAACCCAAAGACTTTGATATTTATAAGAACGATGGTAAAAGTATGAAGGAGCAAAACACGCAAAGTACAAGAACTAACCATGGCAAATAAGAAAGGTGCAAATGAAAGCAAAAACCAACTTTGATATTTATAAACAAAGGTTTCTTACAAAGGATCTTGAAGACGCAAGCAAAAATACACAAAAAATGATAGAAACAAACTACTGCTGGCCATCACCATCATGACCCACGACATCCTTACCGACCAGATTTTCAACGCCCTCTCTTTCCTCGCCCGGAGGGTATATAGAATCATACTAGGCCTTATCCTCAAGGCGATCTACAACATCCTCATCTTCTTTACCAGGACGAGGCATAGTTGGGTTGTGGCCCCAAGCAACCCGAGCCTCGCGAGCCTTGACTCGAGCATTCTCAAAGTCCACGGCAGGAAGGGAACCGGCCACCTACAACTTACGAAGCACATCCAATCGGGCCTCAACGTGAATCCACTCTTTATACAACTCACAAGAAATGTTGGGGAAGCCAATAGTCGTAGATGAAGAAGGTTGTGCAAGTAGTTTGGCCTTCTCAACCTCCAGAGCGACAACTTGATCATAAAGATCGGAGGTCTCTTTCTCCAACTCCCCAATCCTCTCACCAAGCAGTTCTTCTTTAATCCTCGCTGTCGATAAGTCATTTTCTTGCTCATTCAGTTCGTCACTTCAAGGAACTCCACCCTCCTCTGAGCCTCCAAACGAGCAGACTCCGTCTTATCAAGCTCCTCATGCCTTGATCTAGCACTCTTCGAGTTGGCCTCACAATAAGACCACTTGGGCTTAGAGATCACTGCATTGGGACTCTACGCCTCTACTAAGCTCAAGCTCCTCTTTTTTGCTTCTCAACGTCGCTTTAAGGACGTTGCATTTCTCCACAACCCACATCAGCTCCTCGTACCTCTTCTTCAAGTCCTGCCTCAAGACCCGCACGTCGTCGCCTTTGCGAAGCCAACCCTAGAGCTCCCCGTACATCTCAAGGCACATTTTATACTTGTCATTCAGCTTCACGTAAATGTCTTTACGTCTCTTCTCCCGAGAAGCACTCTCAATCTCTAGAATAACCGTCTATAAAACAAAGAAAAGGAATTAGAGCTTGATAAGAACGAACCTTGGGCCTAACTCAACCCCAAAAGCTAGCTTGTGAGGTGATTATTACCCAAGACCATATAAGGAGACCAAGATACCCATAACCCACCTATGTGGGACACAATTCAACACCCCCTCATGCCCAGGATTGCAACTGGAGCGTGGACAATATAAATGGGGGCCCAACATTGGTAATAATAAAACCTGGCTCTGATACCATGATAAGAATGGACATTGAGCCTAACTCAACCCCAAAATCTAGCTTGTGAGGTGAGGATTGTCCAAGACCATATAAGGAGACCAAGATACCCATAACCCACCGATGTGGGACACAAC